TGGCAGAGGAGATTTTCGTATTTTCGTTTCGTAGATTGTAAGTAAATTGAATATTACAATAGACTTTTTTGAGGGCGCTAAATTATGAATTGATCGCCAATTAATAACGTGTGTTATGCAGTGTATTGTTTCAGAATTGCGCTAAAATTTAGACTTACATGTTATATTGGAATTGAATTTTTGGAAAATACTTGTACTTGTTTAGAAATACAGTAATGGTGTTTCTATTTGTTAATAACAAAATACATAGTTGGATTAGTTAATAACAAAATACATAGTTCATGACAAGCTCATGACAGACGAAGATTTTATATTAATTATTGCATTCCTCTTATAAGACGTGTTCCTAGTGTTTTCCATTCTCAAATACAGAAAAATTTTATGATATATACTTTTTGGGTATTTATATTAGCAAAGAATTTTCGATTCGTCGACAAAAATATAAATTTTTATTTTATAATTAAAAAGAAAATTAATTTTTCCTCAGTCCTTTTAATGTGGACCACTCTCAGACACGTTTAAAATAAAACTATTTTTATGAAATATGTGGAAGATTTTTATATGTACTTAAATTCTAAACTATTACTAACAAGTACTATAAATTTTTGTGTTTATGTTATTCAAGTTGTGTTTTTATTTATTTAAATGGTTTATAAAGTATTCAAATATTATTTTTTATGTGTTCAATTTATTTGTTTTGTTATTTATGCTTATTATGTTAAAAATATTCAAGTTGTAATGATATATTTTTGTTTGGATATCATTTTGTTCAATTATTTAAGTAAATTTTAGTTGAAAATTTTATTTATGTACGACGGTTGTATTTTGTTAATGTTATAATATGCTTACACGTAGAGATAGGTAGCCTTCATTATTTAATATTTAGTTAAACAATAAAATTGTTTACTCTTAAAATTCTGTAATGAATTTCGTAAATAATAATTAGATTAGACGTTAATAATATGAAGTAGGTTGAGAATATAATGAATATTGCATTAGTTGTAATAGAAATTTTTGTTTTACTTGTTTAATTTTCCATTTGAATTAAATTTAACACTTACTTAGATAAACTATACTTTTGGTATAGTAGAATTGATCAATTTGAATTGGAAGGTTTCAAAATCTTTATAGATGTCATATTTTTGTAACACTCGAATTACTGTTACAATTGCCTATAATGCTGTTAAGTAAAATATTACAGAAGTTTGATATGCATGTGCAATTGAGGCACAAATTACAACCGAATGCATGAAATCAATTTTAACTCAAATTTAACTTGATTTTTTGTTTACTTTAGTAATATCGAATTTTTTACGATAAATATTATTTTTATTTCGTGATCCGATAGTCAGAATAGACGCCAATGTTATTTCGATTGCAGAATTTAATTTTTATATTGAAACTTGTCATTACTATTTTGAATATCTTAACAAAATTTTATGATTTTATATTTTTTCTCCAATATTCATAGCTTAAAATTTTGAATTGAAAATTTTTGAGTAAAATTAATTTTGTAGGTTGTACAAATACCCTTAATATAATGTATTGTAAAATATTTTTGTTACTACGATAATAGCAAAAAAATTAAAAATCATGTCTCCTTTTATCATCTCCTTTCATCCTTTTTATATATTTTATAACTCTATTTTTTTGCCTATTGACCCATGTATGATGTTGAAGGTATAAATAAAAATGTAGGAATGAAAAACAAGAAGAATCCAAGTTAGCCTTCTCAGCATGAACTGAAATTGATTTGATTTTCTTATACAGAAGCCCATTCAATTTATGTAGTTGCCTTTATGGTTATTTAAGTTTGTATGTTCAAAGAAGAAAGGGGAAAAAACTAAAGGATTAAAAAAGGACTATCGTTGGGTAGCATTTTTTTTGCCTGGTGAAAATATTTTTTTCTTTCAGTGATGGTCGATAAAGAAATTTGTGATAAAAATGTCTTGTATTCGATATCGCGTTTTTCACATATGAAAATTGTTGATAAAAAGTTCATCGGGTGTAGTTAAAAAAACGAGTCATTGTAAATTTTGGAAATAAGTTTGAAATTGTATAAGCAAACAAATTAGAATGGGCTAGAAAATATGAAACCATTTCTGCTGACAAGTCCCTTTTAATCAATAACAGTAAGAGTTCAAATATGAAATTAGTTTTGAAAGGGGTTATAAAAAATTTGAATAAATACTATTAGATTACAAGCGACTTATTACTGTTATTAGTTCTTTTATTTACTGTTATTAGTTTCTCAGCCCGAGAATTTAGTTGATTTTGAAATGAATCAGCACAACGACAATAAGTTCTAAATAAAATTTTAGAAATTAATGTACGAATTTTAAGTTACTGCAATCATTAAAATTGAATTTCGGTACTTTCCTGATTGCAAGTATTAAAAATTTATGCTACTTAATCTAAAATTTTGAATTGTTATTTTTTCATTCAATCCCAAGTTCAGCATTTAAATATAAAATTTTTAACCATTTAATTTCTGGTTACATAATAATTAAGTACTTATATAATAAAATATAAAATTATTTGAAAAATCTCAAAATATCTTAGTGTACGAAAGTCTACTAGTAATATCACTAATAATATTAATAAAAATATAAGAATAGGTAGCAGAGCCTTTATTTTTTTTTACAGTCTATAAAAATGTGTATAGGGGAAGGATAATTTTTGTGACTAATAAAATTGTTATATTGGAAAATGATTCCATTCCTTTAATGTTATTCTCTTCCTCTCTTGTTATTTTTATTATTATGTATACAATTTTTTTTTTTTGAAAAATCATCCTAAGGACATTTATCACGTTTTATGTTGTATAGCTAAAATGAGTTAGGGGTACATAAAGAAGTTTTTATGTGTAACTAGTTATATTTTTTATTTCCTATTTACTGTCATGCATACTTTGAAATCACATAAGGATTTTTGTATTTTTTTTTTTTGTTTATTTTTTATTGGATGAATTTGCAATTTTGTGCTTATTTTTTTTTTGTTTACCCTTGGTATATTAATGAAAATATTTATAAAAAAAAATTATTTTGATAAATAAAAAATGAGAGGGAAATTATTGCTCTTTTATTTGTTTTTCTCTTCTTTTTTTTTTCTTTTGAATGAGTAAAAATATTAATAATGGTTCGATACTTTCTTTAAGTGCTTTATTGTATTTTAAAAAATCTGTAATATTTGTGTATATTCGTAATTAATTCGTAATGTTGCTGTACAGTGAAGGGAATTCCTTTAAAATTCAAATCGTTGGAAATAACAGTAAAGAATGTTATTTTAACATTATTTTCTCTTACAACATAATTAAGTAGGAGCAAGTTTTGTTAATTAAAGCATAGTAAAAGTAATTTGATGTCATGATGATTTTTAATGAAAAATTTTGTTTTTCAAAACTTGAAATAATAGGAAATAAGGGGGAGATAAAAATGATTACTGCTTTTGGCAAAATAAAATTGTATTTAGTGATCAGTACGTAATTAATTGAATTTACTTAAAAATTTCAAGTAAATTTCATGAGCTAAAAGTAAAAATATAAAATTAATATAAAGAAATGGAAGAGTGCCAGAATAAGATAAGATGTTGTTGAAGAATTCATATGCACAAATCGGCACAATAACAATTTTGGCTATAAATACTAAAATTTATAATATTTAAAATTTATTTCCAATGTACAGTGCTGTTTAGTAGAAAATATACTGAATTAAGGATCAAATCCAAAACGTTATTATTGTATATTAATCAAAATATTTGCATCCCACAATTTTTAAGTGTGCTTAAATATGTAAAATTTCGGAAGTTCTTAATTAAGTCTTGTTCAAATAAATGATTAATTATTTTCATTGTTCAATTTCAATTTGTTTCACTAGAGTCGAAGTTTTACTCAGTAATTGAGTAAGAAAAATTCTTATTAAATTGTTGTTTAATTGAGAAATTTTTATTAAAGTATAAAAATATCAATAGTTTGAAAAATACCCACCATAATGGTCGAAAAAAATTACACATGATATAAAAATCGGTGTTCATGCTGTAGAAGATGGTATGGTCAAGAAGATCAATAATATTGTTTAATAATTTTTTCTACACAAACTTGTAATCAGGGGTAGAAGTCTTTTTGTAGGTGCAATATTCCGAGTATTCAATAAAAATTTGTTATGCTAACAATTTTAAACGGACAAAACGAACCTTCAATCTTAGAACGTCTTGTATGCCGCAATTTTCAGCTTGCTCTCCGCCGTATTCTCATCTTTAAGTCTTTCGATTTCATTTAAAATTATCACTAAACTATTCCTAGAATCACAGATTTCCGTTCCGTAAAAGGATATTGAAAAATCTACTTATGTAACTTGCCTTTTATTATATTTTTTTTGATAATTTTTGTTTTAGTGTTAATTTAGATCGCATAAACTGTGACCTTTAGATTGTAAATTTTGTAAAAAGTTTTGTACATAAAAAAAAAAAAGAATCATAATACCCTTAAGCTTTTAAGTTTTTAATTTTTGTTGTTTTTATTATTTTTTATTGTAACTAGTTTTTGTTTTTCTTTTTTTTTTTGATGCACTAATTAAAGCTTTTTGTGAAAATTTAGAAAGCAATTTTTTTTTTAATTTTGTTTTTTTTTGGTTTTACTTTCCATTTTGTTTATATACTTTTTATTTTTAGTTTTAGTTTTATTTAATGTTGCGCAACATGTCATTCTCTTTCTTATTATTTTCTTTCTCTTACTTATTTTATACATACATCTCTTTCCCTCCATCACAAACGTGGTTTTTTTTTTGTAAACGATTTTTCAAGTGTTTTTTTTTGTTTTGTTTTATTTTTTTTTTTGGTTTTTTGGGTATACTTTTGTAAATTTATTTTTCAATTCAAAAAAAAAATAAAAATGTTTTAAAATTTAAAATATTTTTAAAAAATTTAAGAAAACACAAAAAAAAAATCTTGTTTTTTTCATTTTTCTTTTCCATATTCTTGTGGAAATTGTTATCTTTTTATAGGAAGTCATTCTGCCGAAAAATAAAGGATCATTAGGTTTTAGTATAATTGGAGGTACTGATCATTCATGTGTTCCATTTGGTGCTAGACAACCGGGGATTTTTATATCACATGTAAGTTTATAAATTTATAATAAATATTATTTAATGTAAGTGTGTGTGTATGTTATATTGAATTTTGTTAAAATGATGGAATTAAAAAAATAATAATGCATAAATTGGATGTGAACCTACACATTTGTACATATTATAATTTTGGAATTTTATTGGGATTTTATGTAAATTGTAGCGAGTAAGATAATACGAGCACGAGTATGCTATTGTCTAGACTAGACGAAATTGGAAAAAATTTTTGATGTGAAACGAAAAGGAATTGATTGTTTTTCTATTTGAATTATGGGTTCTTCTTAAATTTCTGTTATACTACTACGTTTATATATGTGTACATATTCAAATTTTAAAATCATATTGACTTCTATCAAGGTTGAATTGTAAGAATTTAAAATTATATAATCTAAAAAAAATGGAGCTTTTATGTACAAGTCAACTGTAAAATTTTAATTGTTTTTAGGCAATTACTTATATTTTTAGACCCACAACTCAAATTTTTTTTAATTTTTAAATATTCAGGAGCAATATTCCCTTTTTCATTATAATAAATCCTTAATTCCTTATTTTTGAAATTTCATATTGGCAACCAACCTTGCACCGTTTTATATTTCGGGCGGCCATTGCAATTTTTTAACTAAAACGATTATCGATATGATAATCGTTTTTGTTAGAATCGTTTTTGTTCAAATATTAGTGTAACAGTTTACTGGTTCCGTCTGCGATTCTAAACCAAAATGAAAAGCTCTGATATTTAAGCCACTAATAGAATTATTGGTTTCATTGCTTCTGACCTGTGTGTTCATTTCTTCGACTGTTTCTAAAATTTTCTTTTTCAATAGCATTGAAGAAAACTGTAATAAAGCGTAAGCGGCGATTACTTCTTAATGAAGACTTTATATTTCTTAAACAAAATGTTGGGCGCATTTCATCCCCCCTTCATTTTATAAGTTTAAAAAAATTGTAAAGTGCAACCTTTTGACAATTTACTATACGTTCAAAACAAAATCAATGTAGTTATTATGTTGCTTACTACATAAATTCAAAATAAAAAAATTGAATATCGTAAAAATTTCCATTGTAAATTGTATCTGTTATGTTTCGTATTTGGTAATCGTATCTGCAAAACCATAATTGGAATATCATTTTATAATAGGCGTGTAAATAAACGTTAGCCTTTTGATATTTTAAAATATGACTTTTTCTTTTTGAAAATTTTATCACCACAACAATTAGTTTTTATTTTGCAAATCTCATCTATTTCGTTCTGAATGTAAAACAAAACCAAAAATCCTATATATGTAGGTACAATAAACTATTTAATAATTTTATATGTGCCTTTGTTTTAAATGTCATTTCCATAAATTTTCAAAAATTTTATAACATTTGAAATTTTTTATTTTAAAATGATTTTATTTTTGTTTTTGCTATGTAGATCGTACCAGGTGGTATTGCATCACAATGCGGTAAATTACGTATGGGTGATAGAATATTAAAAGTTAATGGAACAGATGTAACTACCGCAACACATCAGGAAGCTGTTGTTGAACTTTTAAAACCTGGTGATGAAATTAAATTAGAAATTCAACATGATCCTTTACCAGTTGGTTATCAGGTAAGTTTTACTAAATTGTAAAAATGATTATACAAAATTATGGTATATACAAAAATTTTGTAAGTTTTGTATATATATGCGTATTTTAAGGTTTTTTACTACATATACATCCTTAAAATTTTCAATTATATAACAAATAAATTCTCACGCTTAATTCACATTACAATATAATAATATAGTATGTTATATTGTACTACATATTTATAGAATTAATTAAAAATAAGATAAAGTGTTATAAAGAAAAATAAAACCTGAGCCGAACGAAATAGAACAAGTGAAAATTAATTAAAATTAAATTTACTTGGTTTATTTTGAATACTTTTTTTTTTAACACTTTTCTTTTCTGTCATAATTTTTGTTTTTGTAAGCTTTAGCTATTCAACACTAGAGTGATACCACAAACTTTTCTCATTAGTAAATCCTTTTTTTTGTTTTAATTTTTTTCCTGTTATTATTTCAGTAGCTTTAATTCTTTAATGGAAAAAAAAAGAAACTATTTTTCATATCGTATTTATTTTAGCCTTTATTTTGTTTAACTATTATATACAGTACTGTTATATAAAAAGAAATAAATAACCCAGGCAATTTGTTCACGCTTAAAAATAATGAAAAACAAAAACGAAAAAAAAGTACGGCAAGAAAAAAATGAAAACTTGATTTTTGTTTTTTTTTTTTTTTTATTTTTTAGTTTTTTAATTACATTTCTGATTTTTCTCTCTCTCTCTTTTTTTTGTGTAAATTTTCACAAGCATATCCAAGTAGATTACGTATCAACTGAGGTAAGCTAAAAGTTCACACATCACTGTTTAGCGTTTTTTGTAGTAATTTATGTGTAAAAAAAAAAAATACCTACTGTGTATTTTTTTTTATTTTAATTTGTAGTTTAAAAAATTATTATTTTTTTTTTATTAATTTGAAAACAAAATAAAAAGGATTTGTGATTTCAAAGATGATAAATTTTTTTTTTTGAAGTTGTTTTTTAAATAGTAAATTTAATTTCATTTCTTTTCCGTTATTATAAAGGCGACATCTGTTATAATTTGTGGTAGTTATTAAAAATTGTAATTTGTTAGGGGCATATTAGTGATACTGGTATTGTTTACGCTATACGATAAAAATTTTGTGACAAAACTTTAAGATTTAATCTAAGTCTAATGAAAGTCTAATAAAGTATATGTAATGTAAACACTCTGTAAATATAGACTTTGTCTATAACGAGAAGTAATAAAAATTACTCTGTTATCATGAGACTTACTCTCAGATCTTTTTTTTTCATAATTAAAGTGGCTGCAATTAATTTTTAGTCAGAATTTTTGGCAGAAATCATTTTTGCAAATTTTTATTTTAGTTTTAAATTTTAAGGCTAAAAGTTAAGAGTTTAATCAGATAGTTTTAGTGTGATATGCAAAAAATTATCAGATTTTGTCGCAAAATTTAGTCTTATATTTTGTCGTATATGTAAATTACATATATAACTCATTCCAATTTTGCTGGAATTTAATGAATTTAAGAAAATTGTGAAAACAGGTAGGATTAGAGCTTTTGTTCAACTCCACAATTGTTTTGTTTTCTCTTGAATTTCTAAAAGTTTTCAAATTAAGTTGCCATATTTAACATTTTATTAAACATCGTAATTATGTGTAATCAGAAAAGTAAACCATAAAATGTCGTAAACTTAATTGAAACAAAAAGTGTTAGAAAATTTTTATATATTTACTTTATAAATCACTCAAATATTCTATATACTTTAAAAATTTAGTATCAATTATTCACTACACGATTTCACATATGCATGTGTTGTTGTATGTCAAATATAAAAGTTGAGTAACTGCAATATTATAAAAGTTTTAATATATTTTAACTTTTTGTGGGTAGCAATTTTTTGACTTTAAATATTTGTTTTATCTTGTACAAACCATAACATTCAGATACGGAGAATGTAAAAAAGCCTTTTTAATCTTCTATAGAAATTTTAAATAGAAAAATTTAGTGGGAAATTTTTAGGTTACAGATTTAATTTAGAGCATAGTTTTAGGATATAGCGTATTTATGTAAATTTAATTAATTAGTAAAAAAAAATTATCTTTGATTATAAAAACAAAGTAAAAAAAATATCAAAAAAATTAAATAGTAAAGGTTTTCAAAGAATTTATTTTGTATTCAATTTATAAAAATAAAATTTTAATCTAATTTAATTAGAATTTAATTATTTTAATGAAAATCTAATATATAATTATTTTAATTATGTACATATCAACAATATTTTAATTTCAAATTCTTAATTTTTACTTATAATCAAATGAAAAACCATTATGATTTTATGCCATTTGAATACTAAAATATAGTTTAAAATTATAATAATAAAATTTTTCCATGTTTTTATCGAATTTAATCCGAATTATAATTATTTTCTTAATTAAATCTTTCAATACCCTTGAAGATTTTAAATAGAAGATATTAAACAATTCTAATATGTGTAAAATACACAAACGTGTGTGTATGGATATGTGCATATGTATGTGCATACATATCTGCACACATTACGTAGTTTTTTTCTTATTTTTCATTTCTCATTTTTTTTCCAGTTTTTTTCATTATTAATAGTTGTTTTTTTCTTATTCTTCTATGTAATTTATTTATTTTCTCTTCTAATTTTTTTTTAATTTTTATTTTAAATATTTTTATTTTTCTATATACTTGTAGGAAATTCTTATTAAAAAAACAGATGGTGAACGCCTTGGAATGCACATTAAAGGTGGATTAAATGGTCAACGTGGAAATCCTGTTGATCCAACAGATGAAGGCGTATTTGTATCAAAAATAAATTCAAGCGGTGCTGCCAGACGTGACGGTAGACTAAAGGTAATTTATTGTTTATAGTATTATGTACTCGTAAAGTATAAATTACAAATGAACATATTATGAATTCGAGCATCTCTGCATATTTCTAACACGTAGATATAGATTTTTATAGTATAAAAAAGAAGAGAAAAGGGAAATAACAGGGGAGTTTAAAAAGTTCTGAGTTTTCCATGAAAAATTAGAAAAATTTACTTTTTTTTAGAGTATATTTTTTTTTTGGTTTAAACTTTACGTAACCAGAAGCTCTGTTACGTAAAGTTATTCAAAGAATATTTTGAGTTTTATAGTAATTATAAGTTGAATGTATTTAAAAAAAATAATTATTGAGACTTACCTGTATGCTTATGTTCAGGTATAAATTTTTTAATCTTTTCGACTCGGGTTTCGAATAGTTTAATAGTTTACTGGTACATATGTGAAGCAACCGGGTCGAAAGGGTTAAAGGGAATACGAGATTGAATCGAATTTAAAACTTTTTAATTCTCTTATTGTTATTCTATTAAATGACACGCAAAATTTTTCTTCTTATGAAAATTCGTAGGGCATTTGCGATTCAATTGTACATAATTGATTTTTTTTATATCTATTTTAGCAAATTTTCCGAACGACTCTTGCTGTTTTACAAATTTCATTTAATAATTTATGAAGCACGTCCGCATTTCTGTTAACCAACTTTTTTTTTATATGCACATGCTGGTAAACCTTTCTGGAAAAAAAACTATACTACAGTTGAGATTTTAGAAGGAATAAAAAGTAATGTGAAGTAGAATGAGTGTAATAAATAACATGCAATAAAAAAAAATGTTTAAATTGCATTTTATAGAGAAAAAATTTTTTTTTCAAATTTATTATCACAATTTTTATTTTTTTGTGGTTTATACTTACCTACCTCTCTTGTTCTTTAGCTGAATGTTCGTTCTCTTGAAAAAAAAATAAAAAATTAGAAAAATATTTATACATACACGTCTGTCTATGATTATATAACGGTATAATCTTTATTTTTCTAGAATGAAAATTTTATTTACAAAAAAAAAAAACGAACAATTTTATAAAATTCTTTTCAGTTTTCAACTTCGTTTTTGTTTTTTAAATTATTATTATAATTATTATTTCTATTGGTGGACATTTAAAAGTTTTTGACTTTTCTTATTGTCTAATGTTAATTATGGGCAATAAAAAGTTTTTAAAACTTGGAATATGATTACTTTTTCAAAACGAAAAACAAAATTATTTAGAAACTTGTAGAATTGACGTAGAAACAATTAAGCATAGTGTGTGGTTGTGGTATTATAAAATTTCTTATAAGAAAAGTTTTACTTATTTTTATATTCTCTGCATCTCTTCTCTTACATAATCAATTTCTCTTTGAATGCCAGTGAGTTTATATGCAAGTAGCAATGAATTTTTGAGATAAAGTGTAAAACTAGCAACACCACACCACAGTGAAAATAGAAATGGGGACTGAAAGAAATAGTTTGATAAACATTATTTAACTGTAATTGACAATTTTCTTTTAGTGTAAATTACGATTTTAAAATAATTTTGACAATTTTTAAGGGTTAATAGACTAGATAATTAGTAATTTAGTACAAAGAGATACTTTAATAATTGAGAATCGATTTCAGTGAATTTTTAAGGAACATTTTAAGGAAAAAATTTCTTTAATCCTAACGATTTAAGGCGGAATAAATTCATTTTCAAATAGTCAATAAAGAAATTTAATTTATTTCTTAAATTAAATGCAAAAAATAATTAAATTAAATTAAATGTACATTTTAATTCCTAGTGCAAACTAATTTTTTTTTTTTTTCAATTTTTATTCGCATTTTAATTTTAAATTTAATTTTTTCCTTTTTCTAAAATAAAGGTTGGAATGCGATTACTTGAAGTGAATGGCATTTCATTATTGGGCGCATCACATCAAGATGCCGTTAATACATTAAGAGCAGCTGGAAATGAAATTCATTTAATCGTTTGTAAAGGATACGATAAATCGAATTTAATTCATTCAATTGGTTCAGGTGGTGGTATGAGCACTGGTTTTAATTCAAGACATGGAAGTAAGTAAATTAAATTAATGAAAAAAATACATAATTTATTATTACGAGATTAATATTCAAAAATAAAATTATTTTTGTTAAATTTTAGGTTCAAGAGCTTCTGAAACTGGTTCAGAATTAAGTCAAAGTGTATCAAGTTTAGATCGTGATGATGAAGAAGGTAGAACGAGATTGGTAAATGCTTTAATTTTTCTTTCTTTAAATATATTTTAATTGTATTTTTTGTTAATTTTAAATTTTAAAGGATTCGGAAGTATTTAAATTAGATACAAATGAATCACCACCAGTTGTGCCAATATATGCTGCTAATACACAAGATAATAATTATTTAAATAATATTAATACACTAACAACAGTTAATACGACAACAACAACAACAGCTGGAGTTCCACAAACATCGAAAGATGTTGCTTTGGTTAACTCAGAGCAATCTTTAGTTAGTACGAAAGAAAAAAATATGCCAGAAAAGGTAATCAATTTATAATTGTATAATATAAATTTATTAAATTTAAGAATATTTTAATATTACTAATATTTAATATTATTTATATTTTAAAATATTTCATAGGTTTTAGATATAGTTAGAGCAGCTGAAGTTTTAGCACTTTCAGAAACAATACCACCTAAATCACCAGCTGAACATCACGAAGATAAAATTCAAAAAACAACAACAGTTGTGATATCGGCTCACACTTTAGATACACATCCTGTACCTCCACAGGTATGTTGAAGTTTTTTTATTGTTTTGTTAAAAATATTCTTTTTTTTTTTTTTATAAAATTTTAACAAAATGAGTTTTTGTTTTTTTTTTTTTATTAATCGATTGATTGGCTTTTAATTAATATTATTGTCACTTGTGTTAATTTTTTTTCCAAATTAATAAATTAATACTGTTTATATTTAAAAAAAAAAAAAAAAAAACATTTTTTTAAAATTTATTTTTGAGATGTTATTAAAAATGTTTTAAAATATTCATTCATTGTTTTACTGAATGTAAATAATTATATAACAAAAAAACAAAAAAAAAAAAGAAAGATGCACAATGAAAAATGATGTGACCTGAAAATTTAATTATGATGCTCTACCTGGCCTCTCCGGTCATCAACGGTTGAGAAAAATATTTGAAATATTAAAAATACTGGAGAAGGTTTAAGAAAAAAAATATGCTTGAACGAAGCAAATACTATTGTAGTTGATTTATTAAAAATATTTTTTTAATTAATATTATTTTGATGGCGAAATGTCAATGATTCAATTGAAACATGAATATTTTCTTGAAAGTTCTATGACAATACAAAATATTGAAATTCGAATGCTACTGCTATAACAAAACAGCTTTTCGTCTGAAATATTAAATATTAAAATCAAATGAAATTTGTCAATGAAATTTTTAAATAAATGCTGCAGTTAAAAGATTTGTTTCTTAAAAAATGAATTCAAAATATTGACAAAGGAAATCTACTGCAGTAGGAAGCCCACTTTCGAGGGGAAATCTTAAAATTATTTATTAATTTCAGTTTAAATAATAAATAGAAAGCTTTTGTGTAAATAAAATAATAATTCAATGTATATTTCAGTAAAATTTAATAAATTTTAATTTTATATGAATGACTACTGAATAAAATATTTTAAAAAATTATCGACACAGAGTCACACAATATTCAATCACGTCATTTTTTGTGTAACTTTTTTTTGTTTTTTTTTTTTTTGTAGCTTTAAATTAACTTGGCTATTTATATTCAAGTGTTTTCTTATTAAATGTCGTTTGTGTAATATTAATATGAAATTAATATATTAAAAATTATTATTATTATTATTTTTTATTCAAAAAAAAAAACTCATTTAATTATTATTTACATTTATATTTAATTTTTGTAAATAAAAATATTATTTATTATAAACATAATGTAAATGTGTTTAACCATAAATTTACATGTCATACAATCAGAACAATTCAATCAACAAAATAATTATGTATGATGTGAAATCCAAAATGTTTGTACTTGTATGTACATACCTAAAATTGTATGAAAGACCAAATGTATTCAATAATAATGTACAGTATTTATTAAAACGCATATGTACTACTACAAATATTTACTGCAATAATATTATTTTAATAACAATAATTAAAATGGTTATATATAGATGTCGCTATATAAGTTACAGTATTAAATTCTCTTATGTAATGAAAATAGCCTACGGGTCTCATATATTCTTAAAATAATTTTCATATAGCCATTAAATTTTAAACGCAATTTAATTGTGTTTTATTTCACTAACTTAATGCAAATATTTTAATTTGTATAGGGGAAAAGAAAAAAAAATCATTTTGGATTTCAATAAATTTTGTTGATTTTCATATCAAATATTTTTTTTTTTTTTAAATTTAAAAGGCATTTATTCATATTATTATTACATGTGTATATAAAAAAATAATTATCAACTTGCTTACGGCTAATTTTCAATGACATTGACATAAGCGTAACGTTAAATCGTTTCGTTTACATTTTTTAAATTTATTCTTTTTTTTTTTTAATTTACAACATTTTGTGTCATTTCAAAACATATACAATCATACATAATGTGTATGCACATTTTCTTCTTTGTTTTCATGACCTAAGCAAATGCAAATTTTTTTATTTGTTGAGCTTAGACATAAAAGTATGTATGCCTTTTAGCAATTTTATTTTTTTTTTCTACATTTATTTATAATTTTTTTTTTTTTTTGATTTGACGTATTATTATTTTTTATATAATTTTGTAATTAATATAAATATAAGCATCATTTATTAATTGTCATTTTTAAAAATGTACCAAAAAAAAAAAAAAAAAATCCCGAATAAAAACCGAAAATGTGAATGAGAAAATGGGTTACAAATGGAAATGAAATTTTGTGTCGGAATGAATATAATTTGTTTTTTTTTTTTTATGAGATGTTTCTGTTATGTTACATGTAATGTATATGTTGAAAATTAAAAATTATAATTGTCCTTCTATAATAAAAAAATTGTAAAAATGTAGATTTTATTTACATGTTGAAATTCGTTGAAATATTTTAATTTATAAAAATTATTTAATAATTAATATTCTAATAAATTAACAATGTTGTGTGCGGATATGTTTTTGGGATTTTTTAGGCCTTAATTCAAAAAACAAAAAAAAATACGCAGCGTTTTATGGTTTTTAAATATTATATTTTTAGGTTTTCAGTATTGATATTGTTATTATATAAGAAAACTAAATGTAAACTAAATGTAATTAAAAATATTATTAGAACGAAAAGAAAATATTGGAATGTAATTGGATAGATCTGTATTCTATTTTTAATAAATTTAAAATTTGAAATTTGAAATTTTAAGTTCAAATTATTTCTCATGATTTTCTGTTATAATTTCATAAATTTCCTATTTTTTTTTATGCTTCACAATTCTAATTATTTATAAAGTATAACGAAACTCTTTAATATTATTTGGTTTAAGCAAATGTTTGAAGAATTTAAGCATCTCTTATAGAAATATGATTTAAATGGGTACTTTATATACTTAATGCTTAAAAATTTTAATACAAAAAAAAAATGTTAATAAGATAAGAATCTTTCAGCTGATTAATTGTTGTTTTTGTTGTGTTATGTAAATGAATGGAGTTAGTGGTATATAGATACACACCTAATCTATTAAATTATACAATTCGGTATACACCTAATAATTAAAATGCATGTTCTCTCGGAATTATTTGAAAGAGCATTATTAATATTGTCCATTTGTAATCGTTTTAATGTCAAATTAATTTTTTAATAACGTGACATTTTTTCTAAGATTAAATTATTCTGACCATAATGATTTGTTAAATTTTCGAAAAAAACTAGATATTAAAAATCTTTAAATATTTAAACAAATATTTAAAGTACATAATCAAAATTCTTGTACTTTTAATTTTTTTTATATATATTTAAAATTGATTCTGTTATATTAAATTAAAAGTAACATTTTATGATCATATTTACTTTTTCCATTAATTTTTCAAAATTTTCTATCAATTTTTCATTCTGAAATACGTTCATATTATTCTATCAGACCGGTATACCTTTTCGATTTGTACATAATTTTACCTCTTCGGTTATTTCTTTTTTTTTTTTTAATAATAAAATTATTTTCATTATAAATTGAATTATTTGAAATTAACATACAATTTTATACATACATACATAATGTATTTATTGCATATATAATGAATTTTAATTTTTATTTAATTTATTTCAAATTATATAAATGTGGAATGTTATACTGTTATAATTTATATGTTAAATTATTATTATAATTTATATTAAAAATTTAAGCGTTGTAAAAATTTAAAAAAAAAAAACAAAATTAGTATGAAAATTTGTTGTTTAATGCATTTGCATATTTGCATATTCTTTGCATTGTTTTGATTTGATATAAGGCTTAAACAGATATAATTTGTTCCGTGTCCGTTTTCGAAATCTTACAGATTTTCTTTAAGTTTGAAATTTTTAAATCAAAAATTCATATTAAAAGTGAGGAATATGTGGGCTTGTAATAGTATATGATTTTAAAATATTATTCTATTAATTATGTAGAACAGTTTCCTTTTATAATATAAAATATTTATTGTTTATGAAATTGTGAAAAAATTCGTAATAAGGTACAATATTTGAAATTAAATTTTGAATATTTCTGAAATTCAATTATAATAATCTAAAAATGGAGTCAAGTCATTAACTTATTGTGAATGAATCTATTTTAATTCAATATAGATCTTTCAGGAATTCTGCCATATAAGCAGTAAATTTAAAAAGGGAAATTCAGTAATTAGTAAAAGCACATTACAAGTTGACAACGACTCCAAAAAATTTTAAAAAACGGACCGGAATGAATTTATTTAGTCTTTATAATGATTGCGTTTTTTTCTTTTTAAATCTAATATTGTTGTTGTTGTTGTTCGTTATTATGGTGCTGCATTAAAATAAAAATTTCTATTATTTTCTCTTTATTATTTATTAAAAAAGAGATGATGTTCGTTTGTATATGAAAAAAAAAAATACAGTTGTTTTTTGAAAAAAGGAAAATTACTTTTGTTTTCAGTTGTTTTTCTTCCTTTTGAATTTGCTATCTTTCCAATTTTGTTTCTTTTATATTCGTTTTTTTTTTATTATTTTAATCTATTGTATTCTTAACAATAAGAAAATAAAAAAAATTAAAAAAAAAAAAAACTAACTTTAAAACAAAACTGTAATCTTTTTGTCTCTATATTCATCCCTGTTATATTCACACACACACACAATACTTATAATATTGTTGTTAATGTTTGTGTCGTTGCCGTAATATTGTAGCAGTTAAGTGAGCAGCAGAGTAATTCTTAACGAGCGGTAAAAAATTATAAGACTGAACTTTTACTGTAGTAAAAATATTCATAAAAAATAACAAAAAATAGAAAAAATAAAAAAAAATGAAAAAATCAAAAAAAATAGAACAAACTAAATACAAAAAATTAACTGAAAAAAATTATATAACTAAATATTAAAGTATTATAAAGTGTTATACAATAATGTATAACAATATAAATGAAAGTGAGTATAAGAACATAACCACATAATATTTAAAAAATCGTACTATACTTAAATGTATATTATTATAATATCAAGGATATGTACATAGATATGTTCATAATTTTGAATGTATTTAACTGTAAAATGTATAC